ATCTGGGGCAGAGATGCGTGTTTTGCTGGTCAATCGTTAAAAAGCTGATCGCTGGGCTGCTTTAGGGTCTGAAAAGGCGTTTGATTTGTGGGAAGAATGACTGTGATTTTTTGTGGTCGATGCTTTTGTACACGTGACTCCGGTGGTTGGTTTGAGATTTACTATATTCTTCTTTAAGAAGTTTGTTGGTGGTATTGATGAGATATTTAATGGTGGCTAGGTTTATGATTTGGCTGGTGTGTCGTGGGTCCTTGTAATATCTATTTAGTAAGGAGATTAGAAAGGATTTATGTTTGTGTAGTTTTTTGATGTGGTGCTTAAGGTAGATTAGAGAATTGTTGGTGTTTTGGAACTTTGAAACTATTTTTGATATTGCGTTTGTGATATGATTGTTGATGATGTCGATTCTCACGTCTATTTCCTTCTTAGATAGATTTTGATTGTCAGGGATAAAAAGGTGTGTAAGAGAAATCTAGGTGGGTGGTGAATTTTTTCCATTTAATTTTTTTGAAGGCATGGCGCCTATTTAGCGATGGATCTATCGGCTAGATCTTGGCCGGCATAATGACAGAGAAGGCGAGCGCTTTATGGTCGCTATTATAATTGAGAGTTTTTAATATTGATCTCGTAAGGTTGGTAAAGCTCAGTCTATTGTCCGCGATGCATAGGTCGATAAACGAGTTTGCACTAGGGAATGTAGCTGAGCTGGGGGTGTATAGTTTCATTCTGAGAGAGAGGTGGTTGAGATCAACCCACTCTTTAAGCATTTTTCCCTTCGGTTTAGTGTAGTAGTTACCCCAGTGCATATGCTTGGCATTAAAATCTCCTGCGATAATGTAGTAGTTACTTGATCAACGTAGTTTAAGAGGGTCCGTCAGTTGATCGAGTTCATCGATGAAAGTGTGATTTTCTTTGTTATTGGGTTATAACGAGTCGATGAAAAGGTTCGAATTATTGGATTTCATATAGGTGATGGTTAATTCTACTATAGTATTATTGATGGAGGATGGATGGTGTATTGTTTCTTATGGGATAGTGTTTTTGATGAGATTTGCAGTGCCTCCTCATTTATTAAAAGCTCTATCGTTACGAATTATGTTGTAGTTCTCAAATTGAATTTTATGGCTAGCTTTTAGTTTAGTTTCACATATCAAAACTATATCAAATTTATAATTTTCGGTGAAATAAAATAGATCGTTCCGTTTGGATATGACCACGATCGAGTTTGCATTGATTAATGCGATTTTGAGCGAGTTTATTGTTCGTGGGTCCGAGCGGTGTCTATTCATAATCGATGTTGAAACAGTCGCAAAGCATATTTATTTCGTTTGAGTATTCAGCTATTAAGATATTTAACGCATCTAGTTTTGAATTGAGCATTATTAGAATTAGATCGAGTCGACCACTGGCCTCGAGGATGACTTTACAACCTCCAGAGTCACAGCTCGATTTTCGCTAAGCTTAGCGCTGAGATGGTGAGTTGCGATCTATGAAATTTCACCTAATTTTTTGAAAAACATGAAAGCAGCCCGAGATCGAGTCGACCGCTTTCCTCGAGGATGAGTTTTTCGCCTTCATCGATCATCTTTTTTAGGTTTTCCAACCTCGGCCTAGATAACAAAAAAATCCTCGTCAGCGCCGCGGCAGCTCTCTCTTTATCGGCTGTCCCGAGCCAGCTGATACGAGTAGCTGAGTAGCGCTGAGTAGCACTGAAATAACCCCAACGTTGGCTAGCCCGATCTAACCGACAAGAAAATCGTCATCAGCGTCACCGCAGTTGTCTCCGTCTTCTAGTCCGGGGTAGCCGACCTGATGTGCTGCCACTGTAAAAATTTTCTGCCTCACAAACACAACTTTCATCACTTTTCTTCAAAGTGGAAGGCTAATTGTTCATTTTTAATCATACTTTGTATGATTATAAGTTCAGCAAATAATCGTTGCTGTTATAACCTCGGCCTGTCAATTTCTAGCCAAGCACGTGGCTCGGCTGTATGTTTATTCATCGATAGATCGCATGTAGCAGCCTATCGCCTTCATGAGCTCCATGACAACCAGGATCAAAATAATCCTTTTGAAGCAACAAACAGGCATTTTTAATTTTTTTTTTTCGCTTAGTGAAGAATATTATAACTGCTCATAAGTTATGTACACGATTTAATGATGAAGAGTATGAGGTAATTGAACGGAAAGGAAATGAAGTATCCGTGATGAGAGATGGAAAAATATATAAGCGACAGGTGTCTTATTTAAAAAAAATAATTAAAAGTGTTTCCGATAATCTGGTGACTGTAGATCACCAAGATCACCTGAGAGCTAGTAACTCTCAGCCATCGATGTCTTCACCTGCAACCTGGGAAAAGTCAGAAGAAGTATCTTTCCAAACGTCAACGCAACCTGTTCATGAATTGGATCATGCGGACGAGGATCGTTTATCGTTTTCTACTCCTACGACTCTAAGGATGACTAAGTATACAACCCCAGGAACACCTACTTTAGCAAAATCAAGAATTTAAGCCATGGATTATGATGCAAAAGTCACTCCATTAAAACTTAAAAAAAGAAGGGATTGTGAAGACCAGTCAAGCGTCGGTGAATGTATCTACGGAGAGGTGCACGCGTGTACGGTGGTGTCACGTGGTGGCGAAAAAAAGAGATATATGTGTGACTAAGCAAAGGGACGAGACGAAGTGTATGGTGATCTGTTGGGGTTTTACTAAATAAAATAAAATTATTTATCAACGTATATGTGAAAACCCAGGAAACTTTTAACTTTTAAGGAACCGATGTGGAACTTGTACTGTAAATATTTAAACGGGATCAGTTACTATACTTCTATTATTATAAACTATATTGAAACTCATCATGTATATATTATTAGATTTTAAGAGTGTAACATGGAGTATACTGAGTTATAAAATGATTTTCATACGATTTTATCACACTGTAAAACGGAACCGGAGCCGATTTATAATTTCTTAGTCATATTTAGAAATGATCGATTCACCAAGCACTTTGAAAATTTTTTTTTTGGGTAGTTGAGGGGTTATATTTTTCAAAAAAAGTTGTGTCCAAGCAGTGCCCTCGTCACAAGACTCCCAATCCTTAATTATGTAATGGGAACTCGATTTTTACAAAATTACGTTTTTAATACTTTATCGAATATTCTGAGATGATCGATTAATCGTTCTCTACCAAAATTTAGGGACTTGAAGGTCTTGAGTAACCGAATCGATTGAGACGTCGCTGGTCCACGTGCTCCTTATGGAAAAAAAGTAACATCGAATTGAATACAACATTTATGCCGGGCCAACGGACTAAAAATAACACATTTTTTGATAGCACTCTCAGAAGGTGGAAAAAATCGACTTCGCGCCCCAAGCCAATTTTTATTTGGGTTATTTTGGACATTTTGGCAGGACGATCAAATTTAATTTGCCTCTGATCTCTCAGAAATGGACTAAGTACGCTCCGCATTATAATTATCGCAATAACAATTTTTATAGAATTTCGTAAATTTTTAAATGCTTTTATCTCCGTCAATTTTCATCGAATCTAGATGAATTTTTTTTTTCAATTTTTGGAAATTTTGTCTTCTTTAAATCCATATATATTATGAAGGATTCGAGTTGCTCAATCCATCTGCTTCAATATCCAGTTGCTAGTCGCATTTAAGCATAACACTTTAAATGACAGAAAAACTGGATCTTTCAAACGTTCAAGTGGACTACAGTATTTTTTTAGTCCAAATAAAACTTGTATCATCGCAAAGTTTTTTTCTCGACGAGCAATTTAAAAAAAAGTAGAGCTTTCTACGATTATTTTAGAACTTTGTAGACTATTTTGGAGATACCACTTGCAGTACATAAAATACCTCGTCTAAATAAAATCGAGTCTGCTAAAATTGTTAACTTGATAGCGAAATATTAAAAAAAAGCATGTTAAAACGTAAAATTTTCTGCTCTTTTCAAATTCGTAGTAAAAAATGGGTACTTTTATAGCTAGGTAGATATTGCGCGATTTGAGTAAATAATACGGTGTAGCATGGGCGGGTTGACGTGAAATGCTTCCTATATGTTTACATTATAAGATGCGTCCATCTAACTTGTGTTCCTTTCTTTGTAATGCTTGACTGTGTTTATGATTTTGCTCGTTTTTTGACATCAACTATAAACGGTTTATTTAAAAAAATCCCACTCCTTCTCAATTTTTATTACATTCAGTGGGACTGCGAAAACGGAAAAAATTAACAATTATCATACTATTTGCCTAAAAAAAATGATCGATGGTTTAAAACCATAAGCCTTGTTTTTTTATCACTTTTCAAGTCCAAAAGTTTACAAAAAAGCATATTACACATACGTACTCCAAAAAAAAAATGTTTTTTTTTTATCGGAAAGTTAAAAGTTTCTCGGATTTACACATATACATAGTTATTTGATATTTATTGTTCATAAATCCAGGTACTACAGACGGAAAAACTGAAAGATGTATTTTTTGGAGATCATGCATGACGACCATTTTCAATACCTCGTTATAATTTATTTAAACAATTTAAATTCACAAAAATAATAAACTAAGTTTGTAGAATTCTGTAGATTTCCTTCTGTAAGCGTTTCACTCTTTACGAGATTCATGTCATTAAATAGATTCCAGGTTATCACATGATATTAGGTCCATGAAAGTTTCACACATTTTTCTCATAAAATTTCCATGACTTTCATAAGCTGTTTTATCGTGTGTCAGTTTATTTTTATTTAAAAAAATATTTAAGCGACTGTTACTGATTCAAATGAAAAACTATTTTCTCTAATTTTTTATCGGCTCATTGTTAATGAAATGTCTTGTTCAATATTAAGGGTAGAAAAAATTATTCAAAAGCATTTTCTCATCGTAAAAAGTGATTTTTCAATAGCAGAATGTCTTATCCATGTGCGTTTGCGTAACATATAGTGATAAAACGTTTATTTCGTTTAAAATAGCTTACAACTGTGTGCCACTCGAAGAATATATAATATTTTGACTAGAGTTTCAGCTGCAACTTTTTATCATTTCGTATTATATCATAAATGTGAACTAGAACAGAAACTAAAATCATCATAATTTCAAGTAATAGTTGAGATCTTTATTTACGATAAACGATATAGTTGCAATATAAAAATATTTTAAATTTGTAATTTTAAGCATGGCAATGGAAAATATAAGTGCTATTCTACATGGTATCAATGATCTACGACTGGTAAGTTTTGATAAATATTTTAACTGAATGTGAATCTTTATTCTAAAAGAAAGCCTGATGAGAAAACTACAAGAAATTAAGTCTGAACTAAAAGACAATGAATAAATTTGTTGGTTGATATTTTTAAAAACATTGAAAAAAATATGTTAAACATATAAGAAACGTAATTATTAATAATAAATTTGTACAGGAAAGTTTTTTAGCTTGGAATTCTTTCTTCAAGCATACCATTTAGTACCATCAAGATATTATATTTTTATTTACAACACAGCATATGTTTTATAACGATTTAAAGAATTTTTTTATTTGAGATATGTGGCAATGTGAGTTGCAGTGATAAATTGAGTTTTTAAATTTTATTCGATTATAAAACTTACTATAATTAGCCATGAACTATCAAACAGTGTTGCCTTAACTATTACACTAGCTGTAAACAAAAAACACATTTTTTTTATTTTCATGCAAGACATGTTAACCCGTTAACGCCGAGACGGGCAGAATTTTTTTCTCTATTGTAGTCTGCAATTAAATCATCTTATCGGAGCGAGAAAAATTTTTGAGTACTCATTTTCTATGTGAAATTTAATGTACTTTTTGAATATGGGTTTATAATTAACCTCTGATAAATATTAAAAAAGTTATAAACAATTTACTGCGAAAAAAACACGATTTTGAAGCTTGAAAAAAAACTTTGATTTAAATTTTTTTTATGAAAGAGACTTGAACTGTATCCAATAATACCTAAAATTGTGGAATAATGACCTACAGTTTAAAGTACTGTAGGTGGGATTTGAATATTCAATAACTTTTTTTTCTAATGTTGATCGTTTTCGAACAAAAAAGTACATTTTTTGGAATATTTTTTGGTAAATTTATTGGGAAAAGTGTATTTTTTGGAGTCTACCATTTTGAATATTCAAATCCCACCTAAAGTACTTTAAACTGTAGGTCATTATTCCACAATTTTAGGTATTATTGGACACATTTCAAGTCTCTTTCATAAAAAAAATTTAAATGAAAGTTTTTTTTCCAGATTCAAAATCGTGTTTTTTTGCAGTAAATTGTTTATAACTTTTTTAATATTTATCAGAGATTAATTATAAACTCATATTCAAAAAGTACATTAAATTTTAAGTAGAAAATAAGTACTCAAAAATTTTTCTCGCTCCGATAAGATGATTTGATTGCAGACTACAATAGAGAAAAAAATTCTGTCCGTCTCGGCGTTAACGGGAACCATGAAATTAATTTTTCGTAAAATTCAAATCCATTTGTATTTTGAAATTATGTGTGAAATTTAAATGTACATTAAGGTGTATATAAAAAATCCCAAAACGTAAATATAATTTTTATACAGAATTTTTTCGTAGAGTCTAGCGATAACTTATCAATTAGAACATCAACAAAGGAGTGCAAAAGTTAAGATTTTGTAAATGATTCTTTTAACATTGATTGAATCTAGGAGAGGCTCAGGCATCAACATGCAAATTAGAATGTAAAAAAATCAAAATATTAAATTATAAAGAATATTGTGATAAGAAGAAATATTGCACAATACACGATATTTTTGAATTTATTCAAAATCTAAAAAATCAGGACTGCAACTGACTGTCAATTGATTAATTGCAAGATCCTTTTTAAGCAGTTTTTATGAGAAATTATTCATTGAATTGAATAAATGGATTAAAAAATTTTTTAAAAAAATCGTAAGAAGCGATTTTGACCTATAAATTTAAAATGTTACTATATCTCTATTAGAACGAAACAAAATTGTCGTAATTGATGATTGATTTGGCGTGATAAGGACAAGGATGATGATACAAACACAATAAAGAAACAACACTCAAAGTTCTCTTAGAACAGTGGCAAACTTTATTTTAACTCACACTGTACACACTGCACTTAAACACAAAAATAAATACAGGACAATGCCCTGAGCTTGAAACAAGCAAAACAAAAGGAAAAACTGCGAAAATCAAAATTGTGTTGAGCTCAGCTCTGCGGCAAGAATCGCTAACGAGTAAGGCTCGCTCGCATGTACACGCATGAAAGGGGGAAAGAGACAAATTATCTCGCGCGGTCGCCTCGTCCACTGCTGCCCCCTCACATACCCGCACATACGGCTCGCACAAATATCGGCGACTTATGCATCGCCGACAGAAATAAAGTAACCTTATTAATCTTACGTATTGAAAATACGTTTTCCTATAACCATGTTTAAAATTGTCTTAACGACAAATCTCAAACGAACAGTCCGGATTAAATGGAATTCGGTAAAAATTGTTGTCTACATTGCGTTAAACTTCAAGACCTATTACAAAACTTTATTAGACAGTAGTTGACATTTTTAGAAAGCTTCTTAAATAGTTTTGGGAAAAAAATTGGTTCGAACTCCATTAGATTTCCTGTTTTTATTTTGTTTTTTTTAAGTTGTTTCCGTTTAATAACCTCACAGGTAGCTCCAATCACTTTAGAATGATTTTTTTTCTGAAAATTGGGACAATTTCCAACAAAAAAGCTCATGGGCACGTTTATTTTTGAATCATTCTATTCTAATTTAGGAGTTATTTGAATATTTGTGATTTTTCATGAATTTCGAAAAAACGCTAAAATGGACAATTTCTGGCCTCTGAAAAAGTGTCATAGATGGCCCAAATTTTTCTAAAATATATATGTTAAATAGGAAGGGGAATGAGCAAAACAAAATTTTGATTCGTCTAAAACAAAGAGAAATTTTATTTAAAAATTTAATATTTAAATTCAAGATCGCACGTGGCGATTACTAACCTAAAACAAAGAGAATCGATAATTAAACGTTTGTACTCCCTCCTCTCCTGTCCATTCACAAATAAACCAACCAATCCAATCAATTTCAATCAATTACACAAATTAACTCGATAAATTTTATAACTTAGAACTATCTTGATTCCTTTTATATATTTCTTTTTTTAACTTTAATAATTTTATGAGTATTCCAAGAAACTCGCTTTCTCCTTTCTTCTTCTTCTCTTCTTCTTCTCTTCTGCTACTTGGCTGTGGTGACATCTAGCCCATTTCTGTGTAAGCGTGTACTACACATAGCTTACATCTCCCCCATCAGGATGAGGAAAGCACGATGCAAAGTAATTTTAATTTGAATGTACCATAAATTCTTCAGTAATAGGTACCAGTTTTGTTATGTGATATAGGCCCATGGATTTTTTTTTTCATTTTCGATGTTTAGTTTAAAGATTGAGTCTGATATCTTATTTTCTATTTTAAAGGGTCCAATTCTCACTTCGTCCATTTTTTTTCTATTTAGCTTATTGCCATTCATAACATAAACCATATCTCCTATTTTAAAATCGTGTTTTACTCTATTCTTGTCGAACAAAGATTTGTTATATTTGTGTGAGTCAATCGATCGGAGCAGTGCTAATTTTCGATCTTGTTCCAGATTCTTAGAACAATCATTGGTTACTTTTAATTCCGGAGGTAGTAAATCTGTGGATGCACCGTTCATCAGGTATAAAGGGGAAAATTTTGTTGTAGTGTGGACAGTCTTGTTATAGGCATCGACACAATATTCTGCGATCTTTGACCAAGCCTTCCGTTTTTTGTCGCTGTTGACCATACATCTAATTTTGTTTACTAGAGTCTGATTCAATCTCTCGTTTAGCCCGTTTGAGAAAGATGAATCTACTGCTGTAAAGACTAATTCAATTTTCCTCTCTTTTAAGTAATTTTTGAATTCTTTTGAATCGATTGCCGGATATTGATCTGCTAGTAATATTTCTATATCATTTTCCTCTGGAACTTTTTTTATTAATTTTATGAAATCTCGCGCCAACTGGTTTTTAGAGCATAAGATATATGCGAATCGGGTAAAGTGGTCTACCAATAAATGTAAGTACCGTTTAGTGGATCTCTGTCCGCCGAATCCTCTAATTGTATCCAAAGACATTATTTGGAAAGGCCTTTCTGCAGGACCCAGATGTGACAGGAATCCAAATTTTTTGTTTAGTCTCGTCTTGTTTTTAATACAAACATTGCAACTTTTGCAGATCAAACCGATATTTTTTGATAAATTTGGTGCTGTATAAAATGGCTTGATTTTCATTTCGATTTGATTAATCCCGATGTGGCAAAATTTTTCGTGGACTGTCTTTATTAATATTTTGCTATAATCTTCACTTAGAACTATTTTCTTTTTTTTATTCTTACTCTGTTTGTAGTAAATGTTTTTTTCTATAATGTAGTGTTTATTATCGTTATCATTTAATTTAATCTTCTCTTGGTCACTCATTATTTCTTCTATACTTATCACGTTCACTGTTTTTAGTTTGTCTTCTTCATTTTCGTAATGTTCATAAACAGGATTTCTGCTAAGGCAGTCAGCCTCCGTATTTTCTTTTCCTGGGTTATAAATTATTTTGAAATTGTATTGGGATAGATATAGAGTCATGTCCCCTAACTCGTCATCTACTCTATTCTTCACATTTAAATTTTCTAATGGCTTGTGGTCGGTATAAACGATAAATGTATTACCAATCAACCAATGTTGCCAAAACTTTAAACTCTCTTTTATCGCCAAACATTCTAGGAAAATTGCCTTTTTCTTTTTTTGTGAGTCACTCAGTTTCTTTGAAAAATAGGAGACGGGTTTTTGTGTACCATCTTGTTGTGTTTGTTTTAATATGGTACCTATTCCTTTGATGCTTGCGTCTGTGTATATGAAAGTCGGAGCTTTTTGATTGTAGATAGCTAAAATTGGTTTCGAGCATAAGTATTTTTTTACCTCATCAAAGGCATTATCACATTCCTTGGACCAGTCGAACATAACATTTTTCCTGAGTAGGTTGTGTAGAGGGTCAAGCAGTATTGAGACGTTAGGTATATATTTCCCGTAAAAATTTATTTTTCCAAGGAACTGTCGTATCTGTTTCTTGTTTTGCGGTATCGGAAATTCTTCTATGGATCTCAAATTGTCTTTTAAAGGGGTTATTGTATTTTTTGTGATA